ACTGAGCTAACTAGCTCTGACTCCTCCCCCTCATACATAATTATATTATAGTCATATAAATGAAATAAGGCAGCTGACTTAGCTAGAATGTTTTTAAGAGTAGTGTATAGTAATAAATTATGTACACAGTAATGACCTTTCAAGTACCACGAGACCCTAAAAAGATCGAATTTTGATTAGTGTAATTTTAGTGTTATGTTTATGTCATTGTATTTTTAAATTTAAAAATTGTTTCCTGAATCTAAATTTTCAGGAAAGTTTTTCTGTAAGAATTATAAATCAATGGAAATTTACTCTGTGTATGAGGGAGCCATGTAATACAAACAAGAGAAGTACATGACATGGAGTAATTCTGATTATGGTTGATTACATCATCAAGAGTGACAAATTGACTTCTGATCCAAGCCCCACACTCATTGTCCTTACCTTGCTCAGAATGCGAATGAGGTCACCCCGCTGGAAGGACAGTTCGTCTGGCTGGTCACCATGGCAATCCCATAGGCCCTGGTAATAACTGGCATAGTCCACTGATCAAAGAGAGGAGAAATAAAAGTTAAAAGGACTGTCTTTTTCCATGGAGCCCACATTTTTGCTACAAATGGAAACCAGAGTTCTGATACTGCCCCAAGAAAACCTAAGATTCAAGGGGGTCAGGATGAGATGCAGACACTCAGCAAGAGCAAAGGACTGTGGGAGAAAAAGGTCATTAACTAACATTAAATATTTACAGATCACCCTTAGCCAGATGCTATTCAATAATATGAAAAATACATTATTTTATTAATAAAAGAAAATCAGGCAGGTAATTTTTCACTTGGTTTGTTACTAAGCAGCAAAGGGATTTCCTGCCCAACTTTCTTGATCCAGGGTATCTAAACCATGCAGTGCATCTTTTCACTATGCATTTGAAGGAATGGGCTAAGTCTCTGACTTCTGCCTATTTACAAGACAGGCGGCGTCAGCCAGCATGTGTCTGCATCACAGTCTCACGTGTCGGCCTCGTCTTTTCCACAGGAACTTCATCCTGGGCACTTCCCACCCAGGTACTCTGTGAGGTAATCACCAATAAATACAGCAATGAAGAGCCCATTCTTTAAGTGGAACCGGGGCGGGGGGTGCCTCTCATCCATTACTACTAAATTCTGGGTGGGCTGGCCCTTTTCCAGCATCTCATTTGTAGACCCTGAACATGTCTGCCAAGATTTATCTGCAAGCCCCTAGGGGAACAGAAACCAAAGTGATCTGCATTAAAAATGAAAGCGACTGAAAACGACAAACCGAAGCTTTAGAAGCAGCTGGAGAGATTTACTGGGCTTCTCAGCGAGACTAGGTGGCAGTGATGCCATGGGACAGCCATCGATTCTTAACAATGAAGAATTTGTATTGATCTTCTTCTACCCGGAAAGGTTAAACACTAGGGAACAAAGTGGGAGAGATCTGGGGATTTGAATGGCAGGAGAGCTAATGCCCACTAGACCAGGGATAATGTGGCAGTGCTCCCCATTCCTTAGGATGCTATATATGGGATCTGTAAGCAAAGCACCTACCAAAGACGAAATTCCTATTCCTGGGAGTCAGGGATCGTGGGTTCTATTAAAATTTAAGTGATTTCAGGGGACCCTGTTCTATTGGTTTCCACTTTTCCCTTCATGTGTCCTGACCCTCCCATGAGGAATGATGGTGTTAGTCTCTGAGGGTAGGAATAGATGGGGGGCAAGTGGACAATGGGGGACAGAGGCCCTGTTATATTTGCTTTTTTCTACTTGTTCCTAACTCATGAGCAATTCAAATAATAAAAGCACAGGGGAACAAAACCCCTATATATCTCCGGAAAAGAACTTCAGTAGGAATCTTGAAGCACACAAAAACGAGGAGAAACATTTAGTTAAGACTCAGATATTGCAGACAGAAGTGACAATGTTAATTATATAGAAACTCAGGCATGTTTTCTTTACACAGAAAATAATTTCTATATGTAGTAGACAACAGAGGGCAGCAAACAAGACAACTATATTGGAAACATTCTGCCACAGAGTTAAAAAAATATGTTTGGAAGAAAAATACACTGGGAGAAAAATGCTAACTATTGAAAAGACAAGGCTTATTTTTTTTTATGTATCAGTATATGAAATAATAAAGACAAGTCCCTGGAAAGTGAAAATGGTTTCCCAGAGGATCTATTAATGCATTTTTAGTTGATTAATCACCCCAAGATTTTGACAAAATTAGGAATGGAAAGTATATTGATGTCAGTATTCTTCATGGATTTATATACGGTAGAGAAAATCACTTAATAAAAATAGATTTTTAAAACAACTTTGAAATCATGATAGACTGACAAAGTTATCTTGGCTTTTTCTGGCCTAGCAGATAGTCACTGAGGGGTACTGCTCCCCACAGTCCTGGATGTGGGATAGCCCTAAGATTATGAGTACCTTTTGGGTATATATGTAAAAGGTGACTTGATATTGGTTATGTTAGACACCTGGGAGAACACTGTGTATTCTAAAAGCACAATAGATCACAAGGAAAGCAAGGAGCTAGGAAGAAAACAAATGCCTTTCAAGGAAAAACAGAGATAGAAAATGTCTTCAGTATTTCATAAGCTAAAGGCCAAAAAGAACTCGAGAATCCAGGAACTGAAATCATCAGAACTAGAACCATGGAAGGACAGCTCTGAAAAATAGCCAACTGAAGAACTAGCTACAGGGACTTGCTGTCTAGACAGAGGTACTGGTATTAAGGAGGAACTCCTGAGTTAGATGAGACTGGCTTCTGTATTGCAGACGCCCTGTTTAATATATGCGTGATTTGCATTCATGTGTCTGTGTGCACAGAGCTTCATTACATTCATTCCTCAGCATTCAACTGACATGTACGCAGCATCAACCAAGTGCCAGGGACTGTACTAGATGCTGGAAATTCTGTATTGGCCATACAGCCCTTGCACTTAGGGTTACCATCCAGTAGGGGAGGCACTGTGAGACAGACTCATGCATTATTTTTTTATGATTATGCTACACCTTCAAAGGAGAGGTTGAGGGTGCTATGTATAATGGGGAATCTAACCTCTGACAGGTCACGGAGGGTTTCCCCCAAGCTTTACTTGTGTTACAAGAATCTGACCAAGTGTGGGTGTAATTTAAATACCTGGAAGAGGGGAAGAGGTAACGGTGAGGAGGGCTTCATTCCTGAAGCTTGGCCTCCCCAGGAAGAGCTTGAAGGCCTGAAAGTTTGCAGGACCAGTCCGACTTCTCCCTAAACTTCCAGCTCATTCAATAAACAAGTGAATGCATGAGGAGACTTTGATGGCTTTTGATCAGTGAGGGACTGGGAACCTGAGAGAGCGGCTTGTCTCTGTGGGCTGGATTAAGGTTCCTTTAGGTTTACACTACTCCGGCAGCAGTCTGAAATCAGAAATGGTGCAGCATTCTGACCATTTAATTAATTCAGAACATCCTCTTTCTCATTTTGAGGACATTATTCCATCTAATTATTTTTTTTTCCAGTCTGTCCATTTGGAATGAAAAACAAAAGAATAAAGCTTAATGCCAGCATTTCTCAATGTCTCTCCAAAAAAACGTAACTCTGCATTAAATAAAGCCTGGTAATTCAAAAGCAAAGCACTAATATATTCAGCATAAAACAGACAGAGGACCTAGAGCAATAATGACACCACTAATAACTAAAACAGTTATAACAATTAACAACAATTACAATGATAGAGAAGCTAATGGGTACGATCACTGCATTTAAATTGCTAGCAGAGCTGAGAAAGACTTTTTCTAGAGGAAAAAAAAAAGGGCAGTATCTTATTTTCTTCATCTCACGTAAGGGAAGCTAAGCTCCAAGCAAACAAAATGTCATAGGAAGAATAGCAACAGACCAAGTAAAAAATATACTGTTTTCCTCTTTTCTAGGTATTTATTGCAAAGCATTTGTCTTTCCACACCAAGTTCTTTATAACCAATGATAGTCATTTCTCCTGTAAGTGAGGCCAAGTTGGCGGTCCTGTTGACAGAATCAATATCTGAAGATGTGCCTCTATGACGTTGAGAGTTCCACAGTAAAAGGACCAGGACACCTTCCTGCCTCTCCTGCTCCTTAGGCACAAGCAGAGCTTAACTGTGTGCCTTCCAGAGTTCATGTCACCTTGGGCTTTTGTTTGGGAGGCATTGGGTAGCTCCAGAATTCAAGCTCTGACCAAAGAAAAGATGCTAAAGGCAGGTCAGCATGTTGTTTACATTTTTCTGATGAGCCAAAGAACTGTGTCAATGAGGCCTGCCACTGGGCACAATTATTTAATTATTATGGAAAGGACAGACAACACAAGAAGACAGAGATAAAGCTCACCTTTGAGCTAGAACATGGGTGCATGAGAAATGGACAGAGAAGGCCAAAGCAGCAGCCCATTGGAAGGGACTTGAAATGTTCTCTAGGCCAGGCAGGAAAGGCTACTGTGTTCAGTCCATTAAAGCAGACTCAGTCTGATGCCTCATGAACTATTTCAGAAGGAAAAGCACAAAGAAATGACTATGACACCAGAACTGGAAGGGCAACTGAACAATAATACCATTTTCTTATTTTCATAGCCCTTTAATTTTGTTTTGAAATTACTGCTGTCCTTAACATAAGTATGATCTTGAAGTGCAGGACGCTCACAGATCCTGATTTTTCCCTCTTGTGCTTCTTCCATTGTGCTAAAATTGTAGCTGGCTGATGATCAACTCACGTTTGCTCTTGGGAAATAATAAGGTTTCAAAAAATAAGAGTTGCAAATACCTCTGTGGCTTCTCTCTGCTTCTTTTGTGTAAGTTCACTCCATTGGCAGGCACTGGGGTGGAAAAAGTGCCTCAGAGATGGAAGCTTGTCAGCAACTGTTTTACTGTACATGGACTCCTCTGGCTGATGCTGCTCACAGTTTCAGAGCAAAAACAACCTCTTTCAAGCTCTTCCTTGGTCAGAGGTTTGATATACCTGAGGATGATTTGTACCTTTATTTCACATGGCATACCCAAGCAAATGGCCCATAGTTTTCATATAAGCAGCATAGAGGGAGTTTTGTTTTTGGTTACCTAGACACTGCCTTCTCATGACAGGCAAGGGAGATAAGCTCTCATCACTGAAGACACTTAGTGTTCTACTGTTAGGCTGATGGGCTGGAATTTAGTGAAGATCTGAGGTGTTGAAGAGTCGCTCATTAAAATAACCCTGTTACTAACAGTCATGCTACAGACCAAGCTTTTTATAGATTGAACAATCAATACTACAAGGCTGTGATAGATTTTCTAGGTAACAGAATAAAATAAAATAAATTACATCTTATAGGGTCATTAACACCTAATAAGGATAAACTGAATTTCTTTTTTCCCCTTTTCTGTTAAGATCTAGTTGGGCTTTAAAAATGTTAGCAATTCAATCAGGGAAAAGCACAGCATTCCTGGGAACAGAATCCCTGGGACAGTGGAGAAAAAGTACACGGATTTTAAAGGTAACCCTGCTAGCCATGGAATCTTTCAGGAGAAAAGATTTTCCCCCCAGAAATGCACGTGGTACCTGAGAAAAGCTAAGTGAACCAAACTTGTGTAGCTTGCCTGTTACATAAGAACTCACATTGTCCTAGGGTTCTGTGCTTTTTATATGCCTTCAGTGGGGCTACCTACCAGTCCCTTGAACCTCTATATCTTATTGTTATAAAGCTAAGTGATGACACCTGGATGTTACATATTTGTTGCTGTTTCTATAGCTCCTTTGGAGAACAGGCACTATATAAATTCAATAAATAAATAAGTAAACACAAATAAAAATTCCTGCCTCAGATTCTGCAGAGAGAGCAAAAAGTCCTCTGTTTTTTAATCACTGAGACACCAATCATTATAACTGGTGGGAAGTATAAACCATAGAAACATATTTAGAGCTCACTATACTTCAGCAACACCTATTTTGGAGGCAGAAAGCATGAGGAGCAAAAGTGTTTTTTTAAAAAGCCTACATGAATTATAACTATTGGAACAGGTAAGAAATAAATCTCTCCTTACCCTCCCAGGTAGAACCTTAGAAAGAAAGGTGGAAGGAGGAAATGAGATGAGAGAGGGGTCTGAAAATGACTCAGACTTTTGCTGGAAAACTGCTGCTTCCTGAATGGAGTTTAATATGAAGTTGGCCATAGGCAGCTTACAATTACTCCACCCAAGCTCCTAACATGAAGTGTTTTTTTCTTATGCTGGTGATGGAAGTTGGTTGAGAAAAGACGTACATGTACAGATTTACTGTTGGAATATTGTACTGCAAGTGAAAACATTTCAGAATGGACTTAATTACATCGTTAACTGTCATGCAGGGCTTACTTGCAGCTACGGGAACACTGCTGTATCATATCTCAGTTCTTTCTTTTTCCTCCCCTGCTTTGACACATAGCTTCTGATGCTACCTCTTTGCTATCTTTTATCTCCCCTGGGAGAAGCTGGGCATTTACTAAGTTGGGTTCTTCACTAAACCTGTTAGAGATGCGCTTTCTACAAAGAATGAACCAAGGAAGGGGCTTCTGCTGAATGCATAACAAAGAGAAGAAAAGGCACAAGGAAAGGAAGAGAGAGGGGAATGGGAAGAGGTAGAGCCAGAGAAATGGAGAAGAAGCAGGGAGTGAAAGAGGGAAAGAACTCCTAGGCTTAAGACTTTCATAGAATCTCTAAGGAAAAATTAGCTAGTATCTAAATGAGCCACAATTCAGGCTCTGCTGATGGGCAGAATGCCCTTGAGGTGGCCCTGGCAATGCACATTTTTCTACTGACAACGATGGAATAGGTCCTTGGTCCACTTAAGGAGGCTTTAGAAGGGATCTGACCTTAGAAAGGATGGGCTCACTAACAGCCTGAAGCATGGTTAACAGTCTGGGATGAATAAGATGTAATTTTGTATTCAACAAACCTGTTACATATTCATTTCCAAATGTGCCTGGAATCAAACCAGGCCATCAGAAGTCAGCATCACCAAGCAATTCTATCCTTCACCCTGCGTTCACTTTTCAGATCTGACACATTTCCATTCCCCTCTGAACTTGCAATCTTCGGGACTCTCAGAGAAGAGACATTTCCATTCTTTCCATTCTCAATCCTCTGATCTCTCAGAGATGAGGCAATTCTATTTTCACTGTACTGATTTAAGAAATACTGATAGGAAAAAATAAATATCTGGTTTGGCTTCCCAACCTCTCTAGGATTAATCTTAGCTGTTCTGGGAACATTAATTAAAGTGGCTGCTTTTAAAGTTAACGTATTTCTGTATCCGGTCACCTTATTTGGGGCTTTTGAGGTTGACGCAGCAGTATCCTCTTAATTAGCGAGTCTGGTAATGTCTGTAGTTTGGAGAAAGGTGCTTTCTTCAGTCAGAGACCCGAATGTCCTACCCAGGGCTTGCACATTTATGAGGCTCTCATACCTACTTTTTGTGGAGTGCCACTCTCCTCCTCTTCTAGGTCATGCTCTTCATCTGAGGAGTAAACATGATTGGGATTAGCAATCAGTGGTCAGTAGTCTTATATCCATTATACATTTGGGCTTTCTTTCACTGAGTTCATCACACTGTTTTAAGGCAAAAATTACCATGTCCTTTTTTAAAAAAATCATCTCTTACCTCCAGACTGGCCCCTCTCTTTCTTCCCTTCCCATTAATTTATTAACAAACACTTCTAAATGTTTGCTATATGCAAGGCAGTACAGTAGGAACTGGAGATGCAGCAATGGAAAAGACTGGCAGGGTCTCTGCCCTTGTGCAGCTTCCAATCCTCTGGATTATTTAGGTGCCTGTCAGGAGAATCCTAATCTTTCTCCTCAAACCCTATTTCCCTTCTCTGTCTAGAATTCTCTTCAAAATGTATTATCTCCATGTAAGCATCAAGAGTTAGTGTGTGTGTGTATGTGTGTGTGTGTGTGTGAAGCTAAGCACTGTGTTTAAACCCTCCCTGATTAATTAGTCCTTAATGTATCAAGCTTTGTTCAGCTGTAGCAGAAGCTGGTCATGTACACAATTTTATGTTCTTAGTACTTGGGGCTTGTAGTTATCTTTTTAATGTATTATTCAGCCTGCCTTGTTCACTAGAGTGTAAGCTCCTGAGGGCAGATAGAATGGTCTTTTAATTAATTGCTACAGGTACACAATGGTTTCTAAGTCAATGCTATTGTCTAACTCCAGTCAAGTGTTTATATGGTCCAAGTCACAACATGATTGGCCTGTTTCTTGATATTTCTAACCCGTTTCATCTTAGATTTCATACTACCTGAAAACATGGGAATTGGGCCTTTATAAAGAAAGCATGAGTATCAGAATCATACTTAGCTGTTTTATATGTGGAGTAAAATGAAAGAAAACGCACTTGCTATCCTTCTCACCGTCACTCTGGATGCACACACACACAGTGAATGGGGAATAAGCAACATTTTGAGGGTTGAATACTCAGTTTCTTCTGGCCACATTTCCTTTCCTTTCTCTTCCTAGGTCTCAGGGCACTCACTTATTGCTTCCCCATAGTTTTGCCACTAAATGGAACTTTTGAGGACAGTCCACCACCCCACATTTAAAAACATATAGGGATTATAGGGCAATATGAGTTCTGGTATGTCAAACTCGAAGTAAATTCTAAGCTCATAAGTAAGAAAAAACAGCATAAAAATATGTTAGAATGCTATAGGACATTAAAGAAGTAATAGATTTCACATACAAAAATAAGTAAAAACATAAAAATTAGGGGATTGATAATCTGGGGGAATCAATCACATGTTATTAAGATTAAAACAATGTGTTACATAATAAATACATGTATTTGCCCTACAAGATTCTGTGGAAAAGGGACTCTTCTAATCTCCACATATGACCGGGCAGCCCAGAATTTCCAACTCACCACCTGTAGCACTCCCTGCACCCCACCATGAGAAATCAAGATGTGAGATAATAGAGGAGTAAAAGCAAAGACCAGAAATAGATCACGCTGAAATAAATCACGTTAAACATCATTCTTTGCACATTGTCTTCTTATTACCTGCTCACTTCCTTCCTTCCTCTGCTATGCTGCTTTCCCTTTTTGATGTGGGACCACTTCATAGGACTGAGAACATTAAGAGTTGATGTGTCCTTAGTTTTAGAGATCCCCAGTAATTTGGAGAGAGAGCAGCTCTTTTGCTGATATCAAACAACTCAATCACAAAGACCAATAATTTGCTGTGCTTAGGCACTTTTGTAGAGAGGGTTTATTCTACCTCTGCTGTCTGTGTGCAGATGTCTCTTCCTCCCAATTCTAATCAATGTAAATTGGGTCAGATCTCCACTGTGAATTACAAATTGGATCTGAAGTTGGAGGGTCACCATGCCTGCTACTCCACCTCCTTCCCACCACCATTAGATGGGAAGCTACACCAAAGATCTTTTCTAAATAAATCAGACTTTATTGTAAAACTCGGCCACTGACGAGACATAACCTCATTAGCATTGATTTTAAAATAAATTATTGAAAGTGGCTTGCCTGCTCTTTTGCATTTGTAAAACAGGAGAATGTAAATGTATTTACAATGATAAAAATGAGAACTAAAACTTGATTCCTTTATTCTTTCAGGCAACTGCACTTAATCTAGTGATGATACAAAAATAGAAAAAATAAAAATCTGTCCCTTGCATTCAATACCAGACCAGATACTCTGATTTCCATTGCGCCTGTGGAGTCACCTAGAAAGAAAACAGGACGCCGGCTATAGATCTTATACAGTGAATCATTCACTACCATTGCTAAGCTCAACGGTAATGGATGTGAACTGGGAAGCTGCAATCCCCACATCTGTTCTCTCTAAGGTTGTCCTCCGGGTGGCTGAAAGTCAAGAAGCCTAGCTATTGATGGGAGAGGCTGGGTGCTGTGCAACCTCTGAAAGTGTGATATGGGGGTGCCATCTCACAGTGAAGGAGAAGACCTTCACATCTGTTTATGAACGGCACAACTCTAAGCACCTTCCCAGCTTCAGAGGGCACAATTCAGAGAGGTGTACAATTTTATCTGGGATCCTTCAATGAAATCAAATGAGTATCTTTCAAACTCTAGAGTCAAGAAAATTGATTATGTGCTATCAGAAAAAAGTGCTCACAAAAGGGAGTGGGTTAAACAGCCAAATTTCTCTTTTTTTTCATCCATAAGGTGAGACTTTGATCCTGAAGAAATTATTTTGGAAAAAAAATTTTTTTAGGCTAACGAGCTTATTAAACTTCTTTATAGGAATATTATTAGGCATTTTAGCATTACATCTGAAATATATCTTCATTTAAGAGAGAATTAAAATTTATGTGCTAGCTCAACTTTAAACAGTAATAGATTATAATGGTTCCTGCTCCTAACTGGGCATATGGGACCCCAACCTTACATAGGTTTTAAACAAATTAACCTCTAAAGATTACTGCCCACTTATTACATTAAATGCTCTACTTGATCCCCAAATATCTCATCTCAGCTGGGAAAACAGTTGAGGAAGATTCTGTTAACTGTGCAAACATGTAAAAGAACCATGGGGCATCACAAATGAGCATCAGTATCCAGAGAGCTGATTTCAATCAACACTTTTGGCACAATGTCAGCGATACTAATGAGAGGCTGAAAGGAACAGGACACTGACTCCACTTCAGAGGCACAGAGAGGAGCCAGCTTCCCATGACACCTGGCTCCATTTGTGAAGTGCTGCTGTAACATTGGCTAGACCAAGAATAACATTCGAAAAATGACCAGATCAGAAAGAGAGAAATCACTTCAAACAAAGCAAGGTGACAGAAGCTTAAGAAATGCCAAATGTGTCAATGTGCAACCAGATGTCAAGGTGCTCTGGTGACAGAAATACAGATAGACTTGAAGTGTAAAGGGATCATGCAGACAAGTGGAAAGAGAAACCACTCCACAGCACACACACATTATAAAACCTTGGATGCTATAGCGCTTCTTCAGACAATATGGAAAGTATTAGCAAGATGTAGGTAACACATTTAATGTTCTGCCGTATAGTCGGTAATCCCAACTGTTACTTCAAAAATACTTGCATCTTATCTCCATGGTATGGTCTTGATGTATTAGATATTAAACTCAATTTGTGCTAACTGCAACACCTGGAATGCACTGAATTTAATTTTACAAATAATAACTGAGTACCCACTAATTAGAGGAGAAAGACCTGAATACAAATCACTGTAGTAAGGGCTAAAACAGAGCTCAATTTCAATGGAATATCTGGGAGGGTGTCACTGAAGAGACACATTTGAGCAAAATATATAGGGTTTTATAGGTGGAGATTAGGGGTATCTTCTAGTTATAAGAAATGGTATTATTTTGGTTTTGGTGCTGGCCAGACCCAAACACTGTGTGGCTAGGGCCCAGTGTGCATGGGCGTGAGAGAGAAAAGGCCGGGGAGCTTGGAGGGCGCCTGATGAGGACGTTGACTCTTCTTTGATGATCCCCTCATAGAGTGTGCTTTCTATGAAGCTGGAAATCACTTTCTTTATAAACGTTGTATTTTGGGTGTCTTCTCTTTCTTTTCCTTAGCTGTCCTCTTACCACTGTTCCCCCTTCCTGTGGGTCTAGACAACCGTACAGGGGAAGAATAATCCCACAGAATGCTTGTTTCTCTTTGACTCAAAAAAAAAAAAAGCCCAGTTATATGCTTTATTATAAAGCAATCTGGTATCTGAGTCTATAATAACCCTCTGGGACAGCGTGGGCAGCACTGGAATGTGCACAGAAATTCCCAGCGAGGGCTCTTTGTCTCTCCATTTGTTCCCTTGAAGCCCCTCTAGAGAACACAGCCGGATTCTGTAGCCCCTGCAGCTGCTGCGAGGCCCAGTTATAGCTCTGCAGTGGTTTCGGGCGCCTTGCTGGATTCCAGCCTTGAGGTTCCAGACAGAGAAACCTGATAAAAGTTGTCCTTTTATGGAATCTTGAATCATGAAACTGGGCCTGTGCTAGCCCCAATTTTGGGGAGGGGTGAGAGAGTGCTCAGAAAAGCATCCCACTTTCCAAATAATGCTTTAGCTTTTTTCCATGGTAGTTCCCTACAGTTTAATTTACTGCAAATGGAGATCTTAAAAATCAAGGGCTCTCATATGCTCGACACGAATGTTCAGACATCCCACTGGATACCAACCTTGAAACCATATTATCCAGGACTAACATTTTTTGTGGTTTGGCTGAAAACCTCGAGTGCTCTGGTTTTCTCTCATGGGAAGGAAAGTGCTGGCCATGTAGCAAATGCTAATCATCTTATGATTAATGTGGTGTAGTGTATTTAATTTGATGACTCATACATTCGTTTGATTAGGAAAAAACATTTTTGTATTGACTGGGTGTATGTTACAGGCACTTTTCTCTCTCGTCGGAGGCCCACTGAAATTATATTCTGGAAGGGAGATCTCACTTACATGGCCTTCCCCATAGAGACAGGCTTGTGTAGGCCCCAAAGAGGAAGGATTAACAGAACTGTCAATGCTAAATATTCTCCACAAAGCACATTTACCTATTATAATGAAACAAATGCTAGAGGCCCAAGTCATCTGACTTTTGATGGTTATGCAGTGTTAGCACTATCCAACATTGCTGTCAGCTATACCTCCACCCAGCACCTGTCCTTGCAGTAAAAATGGGCCTGAGCAGAAGGTGCGCTCCACATTCCATCTGCTCATGATTTTCAGTTTTACCTGCTTGGTACATATAGCTGAAAAGGTCCAAGTGCACAGTCTCAGGTCTGGTGGGTGGAGGCAGAGAGCTATCCATCCCTCAATTCTTCAAAGAGGTAATACTTCCTATTTAACCACCACCAAATTAATAATAGCCAGTGTTTATTGAGTGTTCCCTGCATGTCAGGGCTCTGTTCAAAGTGCTTTACACTACAGTTCTAGGCTTCTTATAGCATCCTTCTATGATAGCTACTCTAGTTATCCCCATTTTACAGATGGAAAAATCACACAGAAAGAGCAAATAACTTGCTCAACGTCTCACAGCTAGCAGGTGGCAGAGCAGGTCCATTCGGACTCAGAATCAGTACTTTTCCCTGCAAATACCATGTTGTCTCTCACATGCCACTGCTTGATAGGTGGTCTTTGGAGATGGCAGCAGAGGGGAACAGTGATAGGTGCCCTCACATTCTCTTTTAGTTTCTCCAGGACTGGTAGTTAGGCATATGCAAAATGAACAGTCATTTCAGAGGCAACAAACTGAGTGGGGTGGCCAGGAAGCTGGGTGATGGAAACTTGCAGCTGAAATATTCATCTCATAATTAAATGCCAATATATTCCATCTCCAATGCTGTCTCTAAAAACATACAGATTAGAGCCTTCTGGGAAAGAACCTGTTGGCTGGGTATAGCACTGTCCTTCGAAACTTACAAGCACATTAGCTGCCATTTCCCTGACCAGCAGAAAGAGACTCTGGCCCTCCTCTGGCATGGCCGGCCTCACTTCGGAGGAACAGTTGTCGTGAACAGAGGGTAAGTCGTGCCTTTCCTTGAGAAAACAGTTTCTGTGCCCTTGGAGTCCACTCCAACATCCGAACTGGCATGAATTTTGGAGGAATGTCCTGGTACCCTGGACAATGGCTGAGGGTAGGAATTCAGGAGGCCGGAGAAAGGATGGTCTTTAAGAAGCCAATCATTTCGTTCATTGACCCACCTCAGGGAAGAGATGGTCTCAAATTCCTCTTATTTTCAGAGGCTTCTTTCTCTTTGCTCTCGTTTGCATCTCTGAGCATCAGCCCCTCTCCTGCCTGGTTCCTTTGAGAACTAGACATGGTGCATGATAAGGCCCTTCTTTGCTCCCCAAGAAGGCTGAGGGGTTCAGGGAGGTTTTCCCAAGCACCCCTCCACAGCTGCAATGCAAAGTGGAGCATCACCTGGATGCTTCCCCAAGCCTGGACAGGAGTGAGTGGAATGTGAGCTCACTAAGAAGATTCTGGCTAAGTTGGGGAGTACATGTCCTTTTAGGGAGTGTTGTGAATTAGATCCATTTCTGCACCCTGCTGTTGCAATGGAGCAGACTGTGAAAGGGAAGATTCTCAGAGGAGCTGTGTTTTAATGTAGCAATTTGATTCAATTTTCCACTCTATAAAATTACCCATCACTGCTCGTTGCTTTCTAACAGACACCTTCACTCTTAATTTAACAATCCTATCAAATTCTGCCAGGGAAATTGGAAAAATTTATCACCTGTGAAATTTTATTTTCCTTTGGTTGTATCTGTTTTTGTAAAACTTCATTAACGACGATGACTTGCTGAGGAAATTATCATTTTTTTTTTAACTTCAGACACAAGAAATGGCTCAACCTCAACCAAGATATCATTTGCATAATAAAACACAACAAAAAGGCTGGAAGTGCTAGGAGGAGAAGCAGGATCTCCTTGGTGGGTGGGTGAAGCCCCAGCAAGGACATGTGTGGTCACAGCCCCACCACTTGACTCAGGTGGCAGTGACGTGCTTCTCCCACAGGGAAGACACGAATGCAGCATTGACAGGGTTGGACCCTCTTCTTAGGGAGGGAGCCTTGAAAAGCAAGTTGCTTACTGACGATGCTTTTTAGCAACAAGCCCTGTATGCAAGGGCCTGAGTTGTTAGATTCCCCTTAGTTCCTAAATCCATCTGGGATTGAGGTTTAAATTGCTATAAATTTAGGCTTAACTTGAATTTCTCAGCAGAGCACTGAACTCCTGGCAAATTTCCATAGGAATGATCTTTCTGAATGGATTTGAAGATTCAGTATTCATGTGGTCTAACTACCTTACAATTAAAAGGTTCAGGCTTCAGTTTTCCACAGACTGACCCCTCCTGTGCTCTGCACCGTTCCACAGCTGCTGTTATCCCCACAAGAAGTGGATATGCGGAAGCGGTGAGGACTATACATTTTTTGAGATGCCATTTTTATGCCTTTGGAAGAAAAGAAATATGTACAATAGACCTGCTGGAATGGTGCTCTTTGGTTCGTGGTCTATCTGAACTAGGTAATAATGAGTTGTATTCTATCAGAGTTTTGCTGGGTTACTGAAAAGTTTGTCAGCATTTACCTATATCCCTTCAGACTTTTGATAGCCTTCATCATTTTGGGGCAACTTGCCATTATTCTTACAGTTACATGGAAAAGAATTTGAAACTAGAGAGTTTTGATAACTCGCCCCCAAATTCACAGTAAACCGTTGAAAACCAACATGAGCACCCTTGACACTTTAACCTTGTCTACATATGTATAATCAATGACTTCACATGGCACAGATGAAAGAAACTCCCTAATCGATCCAGCTTGCTCCCAGAGGGAGGGAGAACTGTACTGGGAATCATGGACGCTCCCCTGAACTCCCCTATGTTCTCCCCTTCAGAGATTTGGCTTCCCCTGGAGTTTTCAAAGGTACATTCTTCCACCAGGTCAAGAATTTCTGAGACTAGTGGAAGATAATTACAAGATGAAATTCCTCACCTGGTAAGACTTCATAAATATCTTCATCTTTCTCCTCTGTGGGCTCTTTTGGCCCCAGATTCCCAGGCAAGGTGATGGGTCTGCACTGGGAACCAGAATGTGGGGCGTCGAAGCCATCAATGTCATCATACATCTCTTCCTCTTCTTCCTCCTCTTCACAGGGGATGATTAAGGAGCTCAGGTCTGCCAGGGAACAGAGGAGAATGAGTCATGATAGGGAGAAAAAGGAAAGACTAAGGCAGAAAAGGAAAGAGGGAGAAGAAGGCAGAGGCAAGAGAATAAAACATGTCAAAAGAAAATGAAACACTGGGTTAAGTGCTGTTATTTCTAATGTGGGCCTTGGTGGCAGGAAATCTGCAGAAAAGGCCAGACTAGCACTGCATCAAGTTTAAACCATCAACATAAATCCTTCCTTGCAATAAAACTTGATCAGGATGAAGCAGCTCTGAAAAGTATGGGTGTGTGAATGAGCAAAAGAGGCAAAGAGAAGAAAATAGGCCAGAAGAGGAAATGACAGTGTGCCACGCACTGCTCGTCAAGTAGAAAACCAGAAGGGTGAGTGATAGCCTGTGGTTCTCCAGGGTGCACAGAGCAGTGGGGACTGTGGTGTCTTCTGTAGGGTATCTGAGCTGTCAGAGCTCATGCTCCATATGACCTCACTGCAAAATTTCAGACAGGTTTGTTTGTAAAGAGAAAAACAGGCAAAAGTGGAAGAGGAAGTGGGATATGGAAAAACGTAACAGTAATACAAGACCAAATGCAATGGCTGGGCGAAGCGGTTACAATGTCCTTTTGCAACTGTACAGTCTGGCTGACCTTAAAGTGGGTCACTGCATAGAGGAGGCTAAGCCATTACAGCACTAGGGAGCACAGGGAGGGAGAGGGAGATTGGTTTTTTATTTTAATGGGGAACTGGGAAGGTTCATTCTCTGATGTATAGTACAGAGTGCTCTCTGAAACCCTGCCAAGGGGCCTCTGCAGGATGGGCGAGTGCAGTCAGGGTGCTCTGGGGAAGGAAAGGAAGAAGAGATATTTGATGTTCATTTCAAAACACAATAAAACTGTTTGGTTTGATTAGGCTTTTAATAAAGATTTTGCAACAATTTTCATCTGAATTCTGGTGCCACCTCATATATGAAGAAGGGATCAAAGACACATTTGTGGCTTCAACCATATGTTATTATTTTGTTTGTTTGAAAATAAAATGGAATGAATAATTTCTTCAATGTGGGATTCTGAAAGTACCACAGGGTACAGCTCAATAAAGCTGCTTTGAGTTTTATTGAGGTTTACACACTTAGGGGTATATTACACGCATAAATCCAAGGCACCTAGATGAGAGTGTACCCTGTAGTCTCGCCATCAATGTTCATGTTTGCCTAGTTCCAGTCTATTATACGTGATGCTCTTGGTAGATGCAAGTTTGTTTTCATGATAGCAAAGGCATAAACTGAGTAAAATAGGCAATCCTTGTAATTAAAGCTCTGGTGCTTCTTTCTTTTTAGCCACAATATAATCTTACAGCAGAATAAAAAACAGAGATGGAAAGGCTTGGCGTTTTTAGGTTGACATGCTTCTGCCTAGGTCCTGGGCCATGTACAAAGTTGGTGTTTCTGCCTTTCTGCAGAGGCGGGGTCCTGCTGTGATGGCATAGGAAGGTTATCTGATGCCAAGTGACAGACTCAAGGTTGGCTCCTTCTACCTGCCAGGCCACTCCCAGACCAGGCTTCCCGGGCCACTGTTACTGCTGTGCCTGCCGGCTGGCCAGCAGAGGGTACTCTAAGAGCGGTCATTTAATGTCTTCAGGCAGGATTCTACCCATCCCATAGCAAGGAGCATTTATTGCACTGTTACTTGAGAAATAACAATTTGTTCTTAATGTCTAATGTTCTTGAAGGCCACATAGACAAGGTTAGATTTCTCCTTCCTACTGACTAAAACAAGATGTTGGCACTAAGTCACATTGAGATGACTCTAAGTTGATATCATGAATTTCCTTTCCAGAGTATAGGAGGTTAGGAGACCCTGAATTGAGCTGAGTTGACTTTCGAAACCTCCTTTTCCGGTGATCATGAATATTACAGGCTTGCCTGTAGGTAGGTGGATGAGCTACAATGATATCAGAAGCCATCTCCGGGTTGATGGTTTCTTTACCTTCTGATTCATGCATGGCACTATCTGTTGCATTTAAGGGGTGTGGTAGGGAGGGCAGAAGGGAGAATGGGCAGAAAAAATACATGTTGATACTGGTGGAATATATTTATGCTATACAACTTCAATGACACACTTATTCCAGTATTGTTGAGTAATGATGATGTCAAGTATTGTTGAATCATGATACTTACCCTTTAACAGGAAATTTATTTGATCCACCCAGTCTCTGGCTTCAGTGGGATTAGTAGCTGTAAACTAGAGAAAAATTCATAAATTAATTTATCACCTTCACTAAAATTTCCATGAATCCTACAGGGAGGCTTGAGATGGGGAACCTTATGAGTCGAGCTGCAGAGTCCAGGTGAAAGCTCAGGATTCTCTGCCTGCTTAATATTTAGAAAAAAAGATCAAAATTGTTCTCAAAGTGATTTTTTTTCCTTCAATAATTTTGCATAACCAATGTTGACAGGTATTTGAGTCCAGATATGTCCATGTACAGTCATTTGATTTCTCCATTCACTCATCAGGCATTTATTTGAGAAAAGATTCCAGAAAAAGAAAAGCAACCCAAAATTCCTGACTTCAAAGAGCAATAATGCATCAGTCTTGGAGAAAACATACATCCTTGAAATGGGAACAATACAAAGTGGGTGCATGTAATAAGGCTGGGTGTGGAGAAAGCACCAGGAACACATACTGCTGCCTAGAGAAGCCAGGAAGGCTTGCTGAAGTAATATTCTCAAAAGAGTTGGTGGAAACTGGCTGGTAAAGGGAATTGGACATTTTGGATAGAGAGAACCAATGTGCAAAAGATTAAGAACGAGACCATGTAGGGGACGGCAGGCAGCTCAGCTTGACCAGTAGCACATAAAGCTGGAGAGCTAAGGGTCAGAGAAAAGCCGATGAAAGTGCTCTGAGTACTAGGAGTTCAGACTTAAAATGTAGGCAATAGGCAGCCACTGTAAATTCTAGCAAAAAGAGTAGGAGATGCTTTCAATAATTGTGGGTAGAAGGGATTGGAACAGGGAGAAACTGGGGACAGAAGACCAACTAGAAGGCTATTTAACTAGTTTTTTGGGTGAAGTGATAGGAACTTGACTCTACTGATGGCTGTGGGAATGAATAAGAGGGGCAAAAGCCAAAGGATATTACAGAGGAAGAATCTACAGACCATGGTAATGGCTTGGATTCAATGGGCCAAGAAAAGAATAAACAAACTCCACATTCTGATTCACAAAACAGGCCAGTTAAGCATCAAGCCTTGGTAATTTTTTATGTTAAATGAATCAACTTGAAATGACTGTTTCTGAAAAACATTTTTATTATTTGGCCATTAGGGTAAGATAAAGATATGTGCTGTAAAAGACCTAGATTCCTGCTTAATACCTAATTAATAGACACTGTCATTCTTGGTTTCTTAAAAACACATTTCTATAAAAAATGTCTAGGGAAATTGCTTTAGACTTGTCATATAAATATTTATCTGGATGAGGAACCATCAGAACTGAAAATAAAAATAACTTAGAAACATACCCAGTGCATATACATCTGTACTATATACATCTCTACAAGACTTTGTAGAAAAGTTTAGTTCAAATTGAAAAAAGTGTTTTGAAGTTGCATAATGAAGAGCTAGGTTGTTTTGTCAAAATAAGGGTCAGGATACTATAGAAACATAAAAGTATGATGTTGAGAAAAATTTGAAGACTCAAAGGGGTAATCAAGTGGTTAATATTAACCTTAGCATGGTTTTCCTCTTTATCATAAGTTAAAGTTTTTCTAAAATTTTTTAGTGAAACTGGCAAGATAAAAATTACTAGCAAGCAGGAAACAATATGTGTATACACATGCACATATGTAAAAATGTATTTGTGGTGAAAATCACTATATTCCCATAGTCAGAAATTTTTTATTGCTTTAGTTAATTTTATAATAGGTAATAACGCATTACCTATTATATTACATTATGTCAAAATACATAAAAATGAACACAGCGAAGAATGAGTCTTTCTCATCCCCACCCAGGTCCTCTCATCCCTCAGTATCTCTGTTACTACTCAGTAATCATTGTCACCAATATCTTAGAAATCTTTCCTGAGATACGCAGTGCATCTACACACAGGAAGATTATTTTGGAGAGCAAGACAAATATGAGAAAATAAATTATTATTCACACTAGTGTCAGATTTTTCTTTTCCTGGATTTCATGAAAGGAAGTCAAGATAGTCAGTTGAAAAATAAAGGGAACTGGAATTAAGGCCATGATAGTAGAGACTATGTATAAGGAACTGGATGTGTATGCTGCCATAGGCAACACTCTCACCTACGGAGTGAGACCGAGAGGGGAGGGGTGTGGAAATGGAACCCAGGCAAAGGCAGAATCTAGCATGAGAACGGCAACAGAAATGAGAAGGGAGGCACTGGCACAGCAAAGATGAGGACGTGTCAAGAAAGGTCTTGGTAGGAAATGAGCAGGTAACAAAGGAAGGATGGAACCCAGCCTCACAACCACGGCTCACATGCAACACGGAACGAAACCGAAACACTGATGAGGATCACCGTCTCCTCCGTTCATCCTACCTCATAGCTGCGCCTATCCTGGCAGGTCAGCTCAAAGCAGCATTCTTTCTTGGAATCTTTTCGCAGGTAGGGGGCCATCCGTACGCTGTAGCCCTTAATGAGAAAGGTCCCTTTGGGCTGTCTGCCTGCAAGAGAGGAAAGCTCCCTGTATCCCTAGAGATATACAACTGCCAAGGGAAAGCATCTTCTCTGGTATGTAAAATAAAAGCACAGAAACAGCTGTCACGTCCCTGAGGAACCACAATAGTCAAGGAAAGGTTATTAAGGAAGCTTAAGAAGAGGTTACTGTAACAGTGAGGCAGATATCACTGCCAAGCTAGGGAAAGGTAACATGAAGGGTTATTTTGTCAAAAGGGTACAACAGAGACAGAGAATTTATTAGAATGTTAAGAGATCTATAATAACAGAAAGAAGGAATTATTACAGCTGGGAGAGAGTGGCTGTAAATGTGAGACTCTTGAAGGCTATTACCGAACTGAAACATTATTACCAGGGCCAGCAGGGCTCACATTCGAGAGGAAGGGCAGCAGCGCAGGGGGGCACTATAAGTTACTGGGATCTGCTTCTATGCCCCTTGTAGCATTTGGGCTAGACTGCTCTCGCCCCCACTGTTGGACAGGTGGGAGTTTATGCTAGAGCGAGAATAATTAAAACTCAGTATTTTATCTCTCTTCCAAGAGGTCAAGTTGGGAAGTAGAAGAGTATAGTTGAGTAACATTAGATGATGAAGGAGATAAAAAGAGAAGGACCCTAAATGAAGGAAAGGAGAGACTACTCTGCTTGTCACCCTCTTTTTAAAAAATGAAATATTAGAAGCAGTAAAGGAGGGGGTAGTTACCAATGATTCTGTGTCCTCATGGTGTGGTTTAGGCAGCACGTTTAGAAGAGCAGAACCATAGTGTCTGCATGATGCTTTGTGTCCTGTTATCATGTAGGATGAACTGATCAATAAATAATTTTGATGATGATGATAAGGGTGGCAGCGGGATGACAATATTAAAAGGAAAGGAAAGGAAAGACAAGACTCTGCTTTTTACCTGGTTGAGCTAAAAGAAATATACAAACACTCTACACTTACTAAGAAAATGTCTGGGGCACAGTAAGAAGTAACTGGTGAGAAGGGAGCTATGCAACAGTGCTTTCTGACACCAGAATCTTTTTTTTGTTAAAGTATCTCTCCTTGTTCTAATCGGCCACTAAAATGTTTTGTTGTTTCTTTGGTCACTAGGTTTTATTTCACCCTGATGGCAAAATGGTCAATAAAAGTCTCCAAGTCTCTTCTTGCTCTTGCTCTCCCCACCCACCCCTCACCTGAAGTGCAAAGGATTCTGAATGAGCGAATATGATACTTGGTTTCATATCTAGGGATGCCAACCACTTATTTAAATGCTAGGGAAATGACATTTTTACAGTGACATAAGTATTAGTTTGAAGGTTTAAAATTAAGAGAATACTAACCAGCTGGCTTGTGTGCTTAGAATTCAGGGGGGGAACTGAGGTTGCTGGATTTGAGAGTGGTGTGGGGGTTGAAAGGATGCAGGGGACTTGTTGCTCAGTTTTTGAGCTTTCCTACATTTCCAAGTAGGGCTTCATGCTTTACCCCTAGACGGGAAAGGCTCTGAGGAATCCAAGCTGGAGAACCCTAGGTGAAGGTCAGTGATAGATAGGCAGGGTGAGGCCCAAGAGCAAATCTTAAGGATTCCAAGTCACTTAGCAAAGCTGCATTTCTTTCTGCTACCTCAGTGCCAAAGGTGCAGGAAGTCCAAAGGCAACTGGGTAAGATATCTGATTTAGTCCCCAGACTGGATATCTAGGCACTGGGAGAGAATAAGTCTGAGAAAGAAGGAAGAGAGGTTAAACAGAAAATGACTGGCAGGAAAATGAAGGATTTACTCCAGATCACTGGCTTCTGTGCCAAGGTGGTGGAGCATAGGGAAACCCCCCACAAGAGCTGATGCTTTACTTTTTCTTCTTCTTGCTTCTGAGAATTACTCCTGGGGTAGTTTGACTCTGCAGGAGGGTATCCCCTATTTGAAAGTGTGCAGTCATCTACAATGACAATTTTTAGCTTGTATTTAATTGTAGCTGCCTCTGATTTGTGCTTATATCCTCTACTCCTTCTCACCAATTAAGCAACTGTGCTAAGCATGGATGCGAGGCTTCTAGCGATAGCTCATGAGCATTGTGCTTGATTGACTCAGTGGTGGCTCATTAAGAATCTGCCTCTGGCCTGAGTCAACACTCTGTTGCTGCCGCCATCTGGTTGAGGGGTGTCTCTTAGGCACAGCAACCATTTGGGTCTCAACATTCTGTGGCTCTAGGGATGTCCACTGGACTACTGCCCAGGAGTCAGTAGGATAAAGTGTGGAGCATGCTCTTAGAGAGTTTGGATTTGAGGGTTCTGTTTCTGGGTCATTGGTAAGCTGTTTAAATATTTCTCAGAATTAATTTTTTCCAATATTTTAACTCTATTATTGATACCTGTAAAGAATTTGAGGTTCTTTGGTTTTAGAAAAAGAGTGCCAAAGTATTCAACCTTGATAATATTGTTATTAGTCATAATAAAAGATAATCTTTTGATATGTTGACCACACTTATCCTAGTGTTTAAAGGGGAAATAACTTATAAATTGGCATCTGAGTTTTTAGTGATGGGTGAGGCATTATTTACCTAGTCTATTTCTTTCGTAAGCATGCCCCTTTATGGGTGTTAGTTAAGGACTGCTATCTTGAGATCTAAGTGCTTGAGAATTTATGAAGTGCTTGCATCCAGGAGTGAGATGCTGCTGTGCAAATGAAGAACACTTACTTTTCTCATTAGCATAGTAGTAGAAGAGGCCTCTGCTGACAACACACCATCGCTTCTGCCACTCTGATCCAAAGAAACTATGATCTAAACAGAACAGCGGTAAGGGACATAAATTCAGGTAACTACAATCACTGAAGAGTCTGTAAAAATCCAACAACACATAGTCCAGTGGGTTATTGTTTTACTTCCCAGGTTAATGGACTGTAAAGCCCTCCCTTTCACTCCCACAGGTTATCCCATACTGACTCAGAGTCCAAAAGACTCATTAAAGGTCCAAGTTCTAAACAGGCTTTGCCTGCTCTGACCCCTCACAGCTATCTATCTTCTTTTATATCTTTCAGGTTCTAATCTCATCCTGTACTTCTCAAATTCTCTCTGATATCTTTATGTGCTGCCTTTTAACAAACCAAAACGATGCTCCAGGCAATGGGCATGAGAATGACTTTTTATATACTTTAAGCCAATTTGCCTGTTGAGTATTAAACTTAGGACTCCAGTCCTAGTAATATCTGGTTCAAGTCAAATAAGGAATAGGTCAGTATTTGGGCTCCTCTTAAATTTGAAAATGGGCTGCTTCACATATGATATAAAAATTACACTCTTGGCAACATAGTTTAATTCTATGGGAGCACACTAAGCATTGAGAACAAGAATATCATTCATTCATTCATTCATTTAAGTATTTATTAAGGACCTGTTGTATTTTAGGTGAGGAAGGTGGAACAATACCCTATCTTGATGAAGATCACCATCTGCTGAAGATTTTGGGCCATCTCTGCAGTATGTACACACTCATTAGACTTCTTTTCTTTCCTCCTCTTCTACCTGCCTCACACAGTATTAGGCATAGAGAAGGCACCTACCATGTTAGCCCTCTTTTTCCTTATTTCCCTTCCCCTTCTGGAATGTTCTGAGATTTGTGGGTCTAATCAGTACCTTTGCTTTTCTTCTCCAAGTATCCTTGCTTAATGATGTTATCAAGCTCTTGAGCTCCTCTTGTGATGTCTTCCATTCCTAAAAGGGACAAAAGCAAAATGCTTTGTTGAAACTTGACAGAATTTTTGTCTATTTAGGCTACTTTAGGTAATCTACATTAATGAAGGTGTGCAGAAGGGCAACTGCTTGAGCAGCACAAAATGCAACAATTTCTACATGACTGGGGAAAAAAAGTAAATTTTCTTTCTTCCTAATTATATCTAATGCTAAAATCACTTAAAATTTTCTAAACATACATTAGTTTGTGCAAGGGGAGGTGGCCTAAGTATAATACTGACTGGCAAGAAAAGGACTCCAGAGAATTAAGAATTTGCTGTGGATATAAGTTCCAAATTGGATAATCCACACTGAGATAATCAAAAGTCAAATGAATAGCAACCAGCAGAGACACGCTTTAATGAGTGACAGAGTTCACTATCAATGCAGTCACATCAGAGGGAATGATAAATACACACTCATTTTTTAAAAAATAGAAAGCCACTTTAGTGAGCAGCAGTTCTATTAAGGTCACACAAAGAAGGGCTATATAAGCTGAACTTGGCAATAACTGCCAAATCCTGGTTTTGTCAAAGTATGGGAAAGAGTTTAAGGATGGAAGACACTTTTACAAACAGAAGACCCTGAACTGACATCAGCCTTTAATTGCATGCTGCTAACATCCTTGGCTCTCAATTAGCCTTGTTAGGTACAAATTTATTGAGGAGTCAAGATTCTAATCCATCTTCCACCACTGGGGTTTGGACTTATTTTACAGAGGGGAGGAGCAAAGGACAAAGAGGAAGGGATTTTCTCCTCAAAAAATAAAATGAAACAGAAACAATTGTGAAACAAAAACTCTTAAAAAAAATAACAACTCTATACTTCTTAATTAGGAGAAATGAAGGGAGTGGGCTGGAATCCTCAAATTTACTTTCTTTAGTCCCCAAACCCAAATCTCTTTTGGTTTGCCTTAAAAAATTTAGAATGCAAAACAAAAACCAAATTAAGGCACAACCATATATGAATCAACTGGGTCTCCTGAGACTTTTGGGTGAAATAGTTTTTTTCAGTCACACAATTAAAAAAAAAAGAATCTCCTACAGTAACTAACACTAATTCAGTGGTGGTAACAAGCTGGCACTTTGCTCAGTGCTTTACAGACATTCTGTTTAAAAGTAACATTTTAAGACAATTTAAAATGCAACTAAAATTACCTTATGCTTTTAAGCTGTTTTGACTTAGTTTTAAACATATAGATCAGAAGAGCATCTCTTTTTCTTTTTTAGTGTGTCTCAGTGCCTGATTCTTTATTTGTCCTTATTGTTAACTTCCTTGTTCATGGACTATTTTCATTTGCATGTTTTATAGTTAGCAAACTCTGTGGTTGCTATAAATCCCCCCCAAGATGGATCTCAGGGTGCATGCAGGAGATGAACAGTAGGAAAGTAAAGTTCATTTGTTTAGGATCCTTTCATTTTTCCCGCCCTTCTGAAAATTCTACTATCTCTCTGAAAACACTCCCCAGGTAAACAGAAGCAGGTGCTAAGGGTGGAATGTCTGGGCTGAGGAACTGGATTGTAGTTGAGAAGGCCCTTTGAGAGAGAGTCCATTCTCTGCAGTTCTGTCAAAAAAATTGCTCCTAGAGGCCTAAAAATTAAATGAAAGACACAGGGGATAAGAAAAACAGGATCCCCTAAGCTTAGAGTTTCCATCTCTTCTTCCCACAATTCCCCCACCCTGCTCCCCTTTTTAAGGTCTTGTTAAACTTAGAGACACAGCTTTTTGTTAAAGATGCTGAGAGTCTGAATCATAAAAGACATGTTAAACGTTCTATTAGAATTCTAACCTCCTTTTTTAATGCAAATCTAAATGCCATTTTATGGAACATCTATAATTATGAAAATGGAAAGACATTGCCTCGTGTGCGGGGAGAGTCTGTGAGTATGAATATTACATTAATGTGCCCACACCAGCTCACTGATCCTGCTGGCAGAGGCATAAAAAATGCTTGAGTGAAACTTTTATTTAGATGTTAAGACTCCAGGCCCCAGCGGGGTGACAGAGACAGTCCCTGCAAGTTGCCATCAGAGAGAGAGCTTGAATTGAATTACCCAGGGGGGAAGGAAGTAGTGATGAGCACTGCTTCGCTTATTTAATTTCATTTACTTTCAGTACATTATCAGCATGAGGCTTTTCTCTCCTCACCAACCGAAACCCAAGAATGCCACCACCAAGAAAACAAAGACATAATGCGGCAGAGATGTTTGAACTCCAAGTCAGTAATTCTAGGAGACTAGGGACAGCACTATTACCACCTTCTTTCCTGAAGAGTTGCACTGGTTTTGCTAAAACTGACACGGAATAAATTGCTGATTTTCTCTCTTGGTCATTCACCGACAATATTCTGAAGAGTAATAGGGCTGGAAATACAGTACTTTATATGCTGTGTTTTTGTAAGATGTGTTGTGTTGCTTTCTTACTGGAGGGAATCTGTATTGATGAACTCCCTTGCCTGGTTTCCCTTATGGGCAGTAGGAAAAAAATGGGATTATATGTGAAGTTTGGAATGACTATGGAAAAAAAATTAGGAAATCAAATCAAATCCCTCTCTTCTGTTGACTGTCTTCTATGTGCGGGGCACTGTATGGTGAATACAATAACACAACTGTTCTCAATGTAAAGTTTACTGAGCTCAATCTCATTAGCTCCATGACCTATCAGATAAATCTAAGCAACTAAAATGGGTGGCCATTGTGGCAATCAAGCCATCTCCTCTTTCAGTGTCAGCTCAGCACAGTGCTCCGCTGATCAAGAACGGGTAATCCAGAGGACACACAACGTTAGCCACAGCACTGGGGTGATGAGGCAGGAGGAGTCTTGTATGCCTGGATTCTCACCTACTGGCAAGTGAACAGATCTGCAGAGCAACCTAATGCATAATGGAAAGTATGTAAATGCTCTGCAGGATGATAATAAAAATATGAAGAAGCCGCAAACAATTGAACAAGTTGCTATTTTAAGGCAAAAACATTTATATTTAAGTATATACTTTTTAAAAAAATTGAGGCTTTTTGCCTATTACCTGAAAAAAGATATTACTACCTTAATGAAAAAGTAGAAATGATTTAGATTTATTGGGAATAAATTGCCTTCTTGGATAAACCTAAGGGTGTATCATATTATATCAGCACAAAACAGAATTACATTAGTGTCATAATCTTTCTCTACTACTACTACACTTAACTAAATCTCTCAGAATAGCCCATATAAAGAAAAGATTCACGTAGCTGAAGGATGTGGGGCCATAAAGGTAAGATTGACAGAGAAGTGTGTTACCCAGAATTGGTGGCCACCCAACTTTCATGGCAGATGAAGATAAAAGAAATTCTCAGACACTGTTCACTCCTCATCCAGATTACTTTAAACCCTTGTATCCCACCTATACCCAATTTGGCAATAAAAAACCCCAAAAGAGTGGAATTCCATCTCTTAGTGCTAAACATGACTCTTTAGTCAGCTATGCACAGCAACAACAATGGGGACCCTTTGGAATGTGACACATTTCCATAAAGCAGTCAATAAAAAAGACACAGGAGCTTATGTGAGTCACGGCCTATTTAATCAGCAGCGTTCTAGCCCACTGAGAAAAGAGAATTGGAGAAATCAGTTGGTGACACCACAGCACAAGGATAATTGCACAAGTGGCCATGTGATTTCCACTGTGAAGAGGCTGCAGCCCCTGAAGAACAAACCAGGTGCCCAAGAGCCTTCACTATAGGCAGCTGGCTGCTTAACCTGAAATGAAAATCAATGATTTTTAAGAAATATCTTTTGTTCAACTGCCCCCCACCCCCCTTAAAAATTGTGGACTTCTATTCTCCCCTTTCCTTCTCTTTCAAGTTCTTTTCAATTGTTTGAAAAAGGGACCAGATCAACTCCAGCCTAGAGATGATAGCTACCAGGGTTGAATTTCAGGGAGGGTGAAGTTTACCAGGTTCCTTCATTGAAGTACTTGTGATAAAGTACCTCGGGAGTTGGCTGGATAGGGTTGGAGGAATCTAACATTTGAAGGCTGGAAATGGTCAAGTGCCATCTGCCGTTCTGATTCACTCAGATTGCTGGTGTTTGTGCATCTGCAGACAAGTGACAACACACACTTCACACTGCCTCAAATGTACGAAGGCAGAGGGAAGAGGGTGTTGCAGGTAGAGTGGTGAGGGTGATACTCTCCTGTCTGGTGGTTCTTGAACCCAAATCTGTTCATTAAGCCCTCTCCTTTGTATTTGGTTTCCATGGCCTTTAATAAGTTCATTACTGTTTTTCCTCAGCTTCTTGCATTTCTGGGTTGCTTTTTGCTTTTTCTCAATTACGAAGAAATCAATAAATGACAGTCACTTTGGGGTGTCTAGCAAGCAGTGTTCATCTTCTGAGTATGATGCTAATAGGAAAGTTGGTTTCAGTGGCTCTTCCCCTACTACTCCCCTGTGACAGGCTTATATACTTTTTTAACTTCTGTGGTTCCTTGATATCCACCTGACTTTATATTTATTCCTCACTCTTTTCTGCCATTTTGCTTCACTTATTAAGGAATTTAAATGAACACATGTAAGGTGAAAAATTCTAAATCATTAATAATAGATTTAGGATCTATAAGTTTCAAAGATATAGAAACCACTCAGAGAGCTTTCATGTCATGGAGAAATAAATTGGACAGCAGGTGAAAGGAAAGGAGTAAACAAAACATACTTAAATTCTCCCACAAACTGTGATACAGAAGCAAGGGAATAAAACAAGTACAGCTGGAGCTGGACTACAGGATGTTAGAAAATGGTAGAAATGACACATCTGTAGTCATCAAACCAATATGGGGGCAACATTTAAGAGATCTTGATGGACTCTTATTGCCCATCCAATTTTGTAAGGTCTTTAAAAAATCTGTTAATTTAGATAAGTGAGCAAACAGTGTAAAAATCTGTGGAGGAAGTCTTGTTATACTGAGGATAAAGAAAATGTGTGATAGATTCTAGACCAGTAATACT